CTACCTTTGCACGTATATCGATCACTGTCACCCTTCGAAAAACGTTCATGCAGGAAAAGGCTTTACACTTGCTTTGGGTGTTATACAATACAGTAAAATTTCGGAATATTTGGATCGTGTAGTTGATTCATTGATTTTTATCTGCAAAAATAAGGTAGGTTTACTTAAAAAATTAATTTTGTTATAAAAGATTAATTTATAAAGATATTACAACTTGATTATTTATAGGAAGTTAAAGTATGGAATGATTCAGAAACCCGAAGAAATGCAATTATTCATTAGCAACAATATGTAAAAAATTGGGTGATTCATTAAAAACAGGTATTTCTTACTCTTTGTTAACATCTTTTTTTTTTTTTATTCATGATTGATTTTAATCAATAACATTATAACAGTGGTTTCCAAAACCACTTTTGATAAAATCATCAATGCTTATTTCACTGGTCTTGAAGACTACAGTACAGACCAACGAGGAGATGTTGGAACTTGGGTTCGTGAAGCTTGTATAAATAAAGAAATCTATTTATTCAATTTGCCAGCTCGAGAAATTTTACAAAGCACCTTACCAAAGTATGCACATAATTTTAATGTCATTATTCTGAGAATCTAATTAATTGATGATAATTTTCAGGGATGAAGAGATTCATTGGACTTTACCACTAGAATTGTACCCAAGAATGGTCAAATTACTTGCATTAAAAGAATATAGATTTGATTTACTTGTTGGATTAGTTATTGTTGCTGGTGGTATAAATGAGTCACTGGTCAGTTTCATACATTTAAAACATGTTAGATTATTCACATCTCAATTATTTTCATTTATAATTGATAATTTACAGTTTATAGGTTCGCTATTCAAGTAGTACATTACTTGATTATGCAAACGAACTTCCTGCTGCAAAGCTACTTGAAGATTCTTCATTATCATTACTTAATCTTGCAAATGAATTATTAAACATATTTCGTCACAATGAAAGCAAGATCGTATCACTATTCCTTTATTGGAAGTTTGGATTTATCATTTGAATCTGGAACTTTGCAAAAAATTGATTCAAACCTTTTCAGGTATATATAGTTTAGCGTTTTTTTTTTCTTATTATTATCAATTTAATAAGTAGCCTTTTATTTTTCATGTAGTTTTGCGGGTTTATTTGACTGTGTAAAAAAAGAAATTTCAGGGACGCGAAATATAAGGAAAATAACAACTTGTATGCGAGTGTAAGTGCTAATTTGAATTTTATGTTACTCAAATTAATTATATTAATAATTTCTTTAGTCTTTGTGGAATGACGTCATTGGGTGGTACGGTTAGAAATCGTTCTTTGTATCTATTACTTGGTTTATTAGTACATTCTTTTCCAAAGGCAAGACTTTTATTAGGATTTAATTTGATCTTTATAGTGACTAATCACTAATTAAGATTTTACCATTTTATTAGGTTCGAAGATTGACAGCAGATCAATTGTATCTAACACTTACTGGATCAACAGAAGATGAATCAGAAGAAATGTTAAAGATTGAAGATATTTTGGTCAATACTGATTGGTAATTTTTTTTGAATTAATCGTATTTATTTTGTATAAGAATATTCTCTTTTTATAATAATTCTTAACGAAACATTATCATTTTGTTTACCGTTAGGGATAGTCCTGTACCTCAATTAAAGGAACTTAGAAATCAACTTTATCACCTATTGGGATTGAATGTTTCAAAAAAATTTAAAAGTTAGAATCAAATAATAATTATTTACCGGGTGTCATATCATGCGTTAATCTTGTTTATCTCATCCCATTGAATTTTGCATCTAAAGTTCACGCTACAAATAGATAAACCAAATAAAATTTTGACACCTAAAGTAGCATTACTCAAAGAGTTATCTACAAATATCCGAAATAACTAGTCTCATCACATTTCTGTACCTCCCTGGTAATCATATAATCATTCTGTAATACACGTAATTAAATAAATAAAGTACGCCAACTGGCGTCCCTTCAGGAAAGGGTAAAAAAAAAAAAAAAAAAAAAAAAAAAAATTTGACACCTAAAAAATCTATTAAATATCAAAACTTATATTTCAAAATAAAAAGATGTATAACTTCTATATTCATAATAGTAGCATTTTAAAATTTTAACAAATTTTATTATTACTTAAAATTCATTGTTACATAATATTCCAATATATCTATCTATATATACAATATTAAACCTGGCGACGAAGTCGTCACATGTGCAAGTTCTAGTTTATAAAAAATCCATCAGTTACTACCACTGTTCTTTTTGAACTATATTTCTTATTTTCAGACTTCGGTCCGGAGATAGCGATGTAATTCTAAAATGTTAATAATTCGTAGAACGAAATCGAAGTTTTGTAAACACGTTAAATGTTTGGTTTGTTCCATAATTTATTAAAACATTAAAAAATTTGAACCAGTCGAAATATAAAACAACAAAAAATAAATACCTATATTCTGATTAAGAAAAAGCTTTGATTTGTATAACTTCACGTATTTTAATGATAATATTTTATTTTGATACTTTCTAGAATGATATAAAACTAAAAAAATAAATATGTTTCATAACCGTATGTAGCTGGATCCTTGAAAACTAAGAACGTTTTTTGAAAAAAAGAGAAGTTTGTCTGAGGGTCTATTATCTATCTCCTAAAACCCACAATCCTCACATGGCATAAGATTGCTACTGAGAATTAAAAAGATAGAGCAGCTTACTCCAACAAAGTGCCTTTGTCAAACATGCATGCAGTACGCCTTGAACAGCCTAGACCTCCAGCACACCAAGCTTCAACTGTTTAAAACAGGCTTTTGTTCTTAGATATTACTTCAAGTAAACAGCATAATTTAGAATACATAATGACTTAACATATTTAATGAAAAAAACTCATTAGCTCGCATTATATTCTTCAAAGAATCTTCTTCCTAGCTAATGACAAAATTTCACTAGCAATGACAAGACCAAATAGTGATGAAGAATATTACACCAACAACATGATGATACCAAAAAAAAATATCTACTATCAGCAATGACAATCTAAAAAAGACAAACAAAACTACTATTAACGAAGATGAAACATCTTTTTACCAACTAGCAATAGTAATACTAAGCTGTAGAAAAAATTTTTAAAGAAAGACAAATACAAAACTACCATTAACAAAACCTTATCAACAACAAAACTTCATCTCATCAACAACGAAATTTTACCAGAAACAGCGTCACCAAAATCGATGAAAAAGTAACTATCTAACAACATGATAATATCAAAAAGATGAAGGATAACCACAAGTGATAAACAACTCAAAAGACGCAATTATCATTGCCTATAGAAAAGAAAACCAAATTATAATTTATCTTTAAAAAATTAATAACTTTTTTTTTAATTAAAAATGATATTAAAAGACAAAAATTAAAGTACAAAAAAGCTATTACAGTCAAACCTCTATAAGTGCATGCTCTTAAAACCCAAAAAAAATATGCATTTATAGAGGGTGTATATTTATACATAGAATAATATAAATAACTTAACTAGCCAATTAGAAACAAGAATAATATATATATTTATAAATTTTAAAATACTTAATAGTAAAATTTTATTGATTTTTAGGTTAATATAGATACTTGTAAATTAAATTATTTGTTAAACTTCATTATCTGTAACATAATTAAATTAATTTTTTATAGAAAGTTACTAACTATGCATCTAGAAAAGATTATTAAAAAATAAAATATTTTTTAATTATAACAGATATCTGTATTGTGATAGATTAAATAATATTGAATATAATTTATATTTAATTTAGCACAATATCTATACTTACTACCTATATTTACTCAGTATATTGATAATAATATAGTCAAATTTATTAAAATTATTGTAATATTTTGTTTAGTGATATAAAAATATAATAAAATCTTATATTTTAATAGTATTAAGGTTTAGTGATTTTAGTGCAGTAGTTAGATTGTTGAATTGCCATACAAGAGGTCTAGAGTTCAAAACTTACTATTAACAGAATTGAATAATTACTTAGACTTTTGTATTTAACTTAAGGTAAACTCTGTTCATTTCTGGAGTTGTAACTCTATAAATCACATTGTACTAATATTATTCAGATATTGGAAGTATAACAGAGTACCTAAGAAATGTAATATTACATAATAAATCTTGATAGGATCTATGAACAGAGAACTTGTATAGCAGAAATCTTAAGTTAGATGAAGTAGTACAGATTTCAATAGTTATACTAGTTAATGTTTGATCTAGAAAAAGAAATCTGTATATGAAAAGATTAGTAAAATAGATATGATTAAATTTTGTATATGAAAAAACCAGTGAGTAAGTATGAATAAGTCCTGTATATGAAAAGATTAGTGAGTGAATATGAATAAGTCTATTATATAAGGTTATATAGTAATACTAACTTAGCTTAGTAGCTAACTGAATTTGGGAAGATCTATCTCATATGATATCTAAAGCCACAGACAACACTAACTTTTGAATTTAGGAGGATCTAACTTATGCAATATTTAGAGGCACAAGCAACACCAATCTTCAGATTTGTGAGAATCTGTCTTATATAGTATCTGGAAGCACAGATAACTAATTTAGTAGAAAGCTACAGTAAGAACTAGGTTTGTATAAATATCGAACAAGGATATATACAAGCTAAATTGGAATATAGTATAGTATAGTTAGATACTACAGTATTCTATTGATTAGAGAGTTAGTGAAGGAGCACCTTGTGATAGAGTCTAGGCTCTGAATTATAAAGTTTGTAAACTAATATCAGCTCAGGTATCTTCCAAAAAGAGAAGTAGCATAAGGTTAGATAAACTTTAAAAAAATAAGAATAGAATATGAGTAAGTATTATAAAGCTAGAAAGTTTAAATAAGTAATCTTCAAATAGATTTCAAATATAGTAGCTAGTGTAGAACCTTTAGGTGAATTACTTAAATTAGACAATTTAAAGTTGTATATGTAACTAGTT